GTGCTTCTGGACCAGTGTTGTTTACATCTTGTGAAATGGTCTATAAGCACAAGCTATTATTCAGTGGCTTTCAAAAAGTGCCATCCCACCCACAAATTAGGCAGCTAGCAGATAGTGAGAAGATGTTTGCTGTATACATGACAAAAATGTTTTTGCCTAAAGAACGTGTGACATCGCTTAGAACACATTTAAAGGTTTCCTGTGTTCCGCAGCCAACAATAGGCCTCACAGAGCTCTTTGTGAATGGACAAACCTATCCACAAATATGTATCCTCATTGGAAGTGTATTTAATGTATTCTGGGTCATATTTTTTCCTATACCCATTAAAAAAAAAGGTTGCTACCCTTTTTGACTTTTTATCACAACAGATTAATTTGGGCCAAAATTTCAGTTTGACTATACAGTATTTGAAGTTCACAATGTGAAGCCATCACATAACTAAATTACACTACTATTGAAAAGTTGATCTAATAAATTTTTAAACTTTGATCTAATAAATGCAGCCATATTGATCATAAGAGACTTACTAAAACCAAACTTAACAGTGATGCATGTGGTTATTTGCATTTAACACCATTTGTTTAATCAGAACAAACATGCGACCAAGCATACTAAAATTTCATGATTTTTGCCCTTGAAAACAACTCGTAATGTTCCAGCAACAGGAAGGGAGGAGCTTTTATGCAGCAAAACATCCATAGGTACGCTTCAGCAGACGCATGTTGTTTTGTTTTGACACAGGCCTGTCATGTGGGTGCCAGAGCCCACAAAGGCACGAGCTTCATCCAACACTCTGCCGCCGTGCTCTCATATGCGTCACTTCAGAACGCCAATGAGAACGGTGGCTTTGACACCTTAATTTAAGACAGTTGAACTAAAGAAAAATTATGAAACTGAAACTGCTGCAGGATGGTGTGGTGAGTCCTTACTGTTTGAAAAAAAGGATTTCCTCTAAAGACAAGACGCTGCGTTCAGTCTACTTAGTGAGGCAAGGGTTTGGCAGCGACCCCATGCAAACAAAGAACTACTTCACACAAGTTTTATTTGCAACCATTCTGACCTGTTCAAAAACAGATTAAAACTTGGTCTAAAATAGATATTTGTAGTAATGAATCATTTTGTAGTAAGAAATGATTCATGTTTTCATGATGCAAGATGGCTGATTAATAAGGAAGTAATCAGTACATCAACACAATCGGATGATCAATGAAATCATGTGAATAAATATGAATGACATTTGCATACATGAACAGTCTTCACAACTTCCCAATATTACAAGTCCATGAATTGGTCAATGAGTCGATATGTGGTACGTGATTTTAGCTGAATTGGGCTCTCACAGCGATGACCACCGAAACTGTCAATTGCTTAACAGAAACTGACAGAAACTCTCTTAGCCATGCAATTTGGGACATCAAAAGGAAATACTATATTTACCTTATGTGAAACGTATGCAACTAATGTAAAATATATACAGAACTGAAAGAAAAGGTTCAATAAAAGGTGATGCATGTCTTAATAACCTTCAGATTCAAAAAAATAAAAGGGAATCTTTATAACACATGTATGAATAATATATGTTCTCAATGAGGGGCTCTTTTGGATGTTTACCTCACAAGTCCCTTTTTAGCTTTTTTAGTTTATAACCTCATCCCCCAATTAATCACCAATTCAAACGTGTAGAACTGTACTCACAAGACGAAAGCGCAGTCGTACTGATGGGAAAGTAATAAGGAGTGCAGCCAGATCTTCAACTCCATGTTTCTCTTGACTTTCCTCTAAAAAAAGTTTTTAAAGTCCATCAATAAATATAAATATAAAAAAAATAGAAAGTATTTGAAAAATATCTACCTTGAAACATACGTAACAAACATTATAAGCTGTGATTGTTATCAGTCTACTAAAACAGAATAGAGATTCACCCAAAAAACTGTAATTTTCTTTTCTGCAGAACACAAAAGATTCAATTTTGAAAAACATGTAAACACAGCCTGACATTTTTGGTGACCATTGACAAAAAAAAAAAAAAAAAAACATTGAAAAAAAATTTTTTTTGTTCCATAGAAAAAAAAATAAATTGCAAAATTTTCATTGAACTATCCCTTTAATAATGTTTTCTTTTTTCTTTATATAGCTGCATTTAGCCTAATTAAAAAGTCAGTTCTTGGTTCCTCATAATGCAGTCAAAACCAGTACACAGACACACACAAAATAAGGATAGGTGATCTGAGGTCATGATGGTTAAATATCTCAGGTATTTCAAATATGTTCAAATGTGTAAAGCAGCACATTATAAGTTCCTTTGTATTTTTAGGCAAAGGCCCTCCATTACGTTCACTGACGTTCAGTAATCTGTGCCTATCTGTCACGCAGAGAGAGAAAAAACCACTAGTTTTGCATCATGGGTTTGGATTACCCCACTAGTCTTCACTCTAAAGCGTGATGTGTGTTACAACCAGAAATGCTTGCAGACGGTATAATAGCAAGTCATGGAACAGAATAGCTTAATCATGTTTACATTACTCAGGTAATGACCTAACTAATGAAATTCCATAGTGCTCACTTGTTTCTTGTAATAACCAGCACTAAGGTAAAATTCAACAAAGGAAGTAAATGTAAAGAAGCATTTTTCATCATTACAATTACTGTTGCATTGCATTAGTAAAATAAGAACCAGCTTTTAATAGGCCCGGTTCACTGCAATGGCTCATGGCTTTAACGAAGAATACAAAGATGGAGAAATATTGGAACAATAACAAAGCACTGTCTGAGAATCTCATCATACTTCATACTTTGAGCTGTATAGTGGCATGTTAAAAAACAACCCCCAAAAACAACATTATACTTAAATATTGCTTAATAATTGAGATTTCATATAATTAATTTTAGATTACATAAAATGTGAAGCCATTGTTCACCTCATATTGTACATCTCAATGGGAAATAATTGATTGTGCAATGTCTATGAAACAACAAGTTTCATAGAATCAGTTTCACTGATTGTGGGTGTTTTTGCAACAAGTTCATCTTAATGTGGCCAGACATGTGGTCAGCTATGAAAGATGCAGAAGCATAAAAAAAAGTAATTTGGTGAAATAAATTTAAATTGGCACATCATTTCATGAGATCTATTTCAGGGAGGAAGCAGCTTGACCTAATATGGCGTTTATATGCCAAAATATAGCATATAGAAAATGGGCCCCATATGCTCAGTTTAATGGTCTAGTAGTAGGCCTACTTGCTTAGTTGCTTCCTTCTCGTCTCCTGATTGTTGTTGAATGAAAGCACGTGTTGTGGGCATGATTGAGTGTCATTCCTTGATTCGCTCGAGCTGATCATCATATCATCACCAGCTGCAGCCGATCTCATTTCACTAGACCTTATGCAGCAGAGAAACGTGGTCGCCGTCATCTTTAGAATATTGTCTTTGAACTTCCGGTTCTGTATATTTCTATGGCATCGCTGTCGAGGAGTAATTAGCTGGTGAAGTGGATTAACTTATTGTAGAGTTAACAAAAGTTATCATGAGCATTGTAATGTTTATCATACGCATTCTAAAGTAGATGTCTTAACAAATGTCGAACGGGAATTTTTTTACGAGCAGTTCATTCATACTATTTTACTTTTTACTAGCAGTTCATTCAAGATCGGAAGTCAAAAGAGCGCAACGCTGAAAAGGGGCGGGGCTACATAAGGTCTAGGCTATAAATACTCTCAGTTTTCTCTTTTCCAACGTCAGATTGTAAATTGGATCTGTCGGCGTTCCAGTCTTGTGTTCCTGTGGAGTTCATCTTGTGGATTATCATCAGTTGTGGATTATCATCAGTTGTGGATTATCATCAGTTGTGGATTGTTCTTCGTCTGTCTTCACCTCACCACTTGGGATTCACCATGCTGACCCATGTCTTTCTGTTGGGACTTTATCTTCTTAAATGAAGAGTTTGTTTACCTGCTATTGCTTCCTGTTTCGGTTGTGTCATGACACCGCAATGTTAAGTACTTTTTACTATTAGCATACCATAATTGCTACTCAAATCAATATTCCAGATGTATAATTCAAATTTAAGTGGCTATGTAACAGGAACAATACAATACCCAAAAGAGGTGTCTGTTTTCATAGTACTTGTGTAAGAGACAAACAATTTGAGTTGAGCTTCAGGAGAAAGGTTTGCATGCATTATTTTAGAATTAATGAAGACAGAAGTAAATGTGAATGATTTCTGTGGTTTAGCACATAGAGTAGTTAATTGCCAACTAGAGAAACCACACAGGACCCCTTACAGTCATCTCTGTATGTGTGAGTTTACGCTCACCTGTGAGAGTTGGCTCAATGCGCAAAATAGAGTGATTCCACCATCTGCGTAAAAAGAAATGTCAGAGATGAGACGTCTAGGCTTACAGAAGATTCCCGCAACTGCTGGGGGCAAAAAGGATTAGGTTAAAACATATAAGGCCAATCAAAAATGTAATTACTTTTTGAGAAATGTTGTTGTTGTTGTTGTTTCAGAATTCATTTACACAGATTAACTAGAAATGTATGCATTTTTTTATATATTTAGGTAGATAGAACAATGGATAGAATGATAGAACGATCGATCAAACAATAGAGAGATTGAACGATGAGACGGAATGAACAAATGATATATAGATCTAAATTGTGTTTAGAAAACTTAATGATATGTATACATTGTTTTATATATTTAGTTAGAATGATATAATGATAGAGAGAGAATAACAGAACGTTAGAACAATAGATAGATAGATAGATATTTTGGTTAAAAAACTGGGAAAACTAGTTTCTAGAAAACATTTTATGACTTCCATCAAAGTTCAATTTCCTATATAACTTCTGCAAAAGCAGAAAAAAGCTGCTGTGTACAAGGTGATGACAAAGAGAAATATATGATTGCCAGTAAATCAAGTCAACCCCCCCCCCTCCCCACCCCCCACCACCACAGGAAGCTAGGTAGGAATTTTCTGGTATAAAATAACGGCACCCCAAAGCGCATCTGTACATCTCCTCTCTTGTTGACTGAATATCAAGAAAGAGTTAAAAACAAAGAGAGAACTGAAGAATGATTTTCTCTGGAGTCATCTTATCTGCTCTGGTCATGCTTCTGCTTTCTGAAAGTGCTCAGTGCAGAAGAGTCGACTGCAAGTCTGACTGTTGCTCATTTGTGGAGGGCTTTCCTGTGAGGCTGAAGGAGCTCCGTTCTGCATACAGAGAAATACAGAGTTTTTATGTAAGTATATTTAGACTCATTGCATTAAGTCTGAGCTTTACAAATAACCAATCTGCAAGGCATTTCTGCTTTGTGCTACAATGAGATTTGAGGTTCGCTCTAATTCATTTGTTTACATTTGTTCTGCTTAGGAGTCCAATGACGACTTGGAGCCATTATTAACAGAGAGCATGCAACAGAACATCAATGTAAGTGCCAACCAAGCTCCATCCATTTACTCCCACAGAACCGTACTAGCAATTATTCAAATTTAGAAATAGCAACAGCAGAATCATACTGAAACTGAAGGTTATGTGCAAGATAATGTGTGCAAACTAATGTCACATCTCACCTCTTGCATCTGCACATTGCTACAGCAGTACCAAAGTGTGATGACTGTGGGTGTCTGAAACAGCTCATAAAGGATAAACCTCATATTTTGTTCATAGAGTCCATATGGATGTCACGTCATGGACGAGATCCTGCGCTTCTACTTGGAAACCATTCTGCCAACAGCTGTACAGAAGAACCACTTCCAGTCCAAAACGCCCATAGACTCCATTGGAAGTATATTTCAAAATCTCAAGCGGGATGTGGTGAAATGTGTAAGTCCGACTTTTGGTCATTAACATATTAAATTAGTTGATGGATTTGACCTTATTGATGTAATTACTTGTACATTCAGAGTAAATCTGTCCATCCTGGTGACAAACACAGCTAAAACCAGCCACAACCCCTAAAACCTTCTGGTTAAATCAATTTAGGAGTTGTTTTTAAGCATGGAACTCTGCTCATGATAGTCAATACCTCATTAAAATGATGTTGGGATGTGAGCTGAGGTGAATATTAAGATGGTGACCGTCGTTTTTTGAACAACGCAGTTTAGGCATATTCAGGATGTCGAAATAGTGCACATATGAAGAAAGCATATGTGGATTTTTATGGGCATTTTTAAAGCTTGTTGCGAAATGTTATGGTGAGGCAAACAAGGTGTCTTTAACATTGCAAACTACATGAAATAACACGCATGTCTCTCTGTTACAGAAGAAGTACTTATCTTGCCAAAAACCCTTTGAGATTGCCAGCATAAAGACCTCATATGAAAAGGTAAGTCTTATACTGCAATTTAATGCTAATAATAGTAACATGTTAAATGATCAAAACTAACTTCTACTACAAAATACCTTGAAATTATCAAATTGTGTATTCTAAAAGACATCCTTTTCACTTTAGATGAAGGGAAAGGGCGTTTATAAAGCAATGGGAGAGCTTGATATCCTCTTTAAGTACATTGAACAGTATCTGGCATCAAAGAGAGACCGGCACTAATGGGATGTTGCTGTGGATTGGATGGTGGCCATGATGAACTGTGTCAAGTCTGAATTCTCTGAAAACAAAGAAAGGATAATGGACAGATCAACCACACACTGTAGGATATGGCACAAATGGACTTTAACTTATCTCTTGCACCTCACCATTCCATCACACTACTTTCTGATGCACTGCAATGCCAGCCTCTTTACCTTCAGTTTCTGAAGTTCTGTCAAATGTCACAATGGCAAAATAGATGTTGTTTAAGTCACATTGACCAGGGTTATTTTGAATGTAATTAAAATGAAATTAGTTGAATTTTGCCAACTTGCTCAATTAACTTGAAAGTATTGTGTATATTTATGTCTTTTTGTGAAGTTTATTTATTATTATTTTTTTATAATTTATGAGCTTAAAAGTTAATTTAACTAAATTGTTCATATTTCTGATGCTTATATTTAATTTGTTCAAACTTATATTGTCTGTTTTATATCAATAAATTATTGCAACTGAATAATGCAAACATTTCCTTTTCTGGTTAATGTGGTTTAGTTGTCTTCCTCGCATTGAAACGAGTTCATACTGATCTGTTTACTTCCAAGACTGTATGACATATATATATATATATTTTTTTTTCTGGGGACAAGCGGTATCTATGTTCTAAAATGACAAAGCATTCAAATAGTACTCCTTGTGACTTTTAACATCATCATTTACAGGGTGTGTCAAAATGGTGTAAATGTGAGTAAGACTTAAAACATGACTGTGCTAACCTCAGAATTGACCTAAATAGAGCAGTTACCAGCAGCACAGCAGTCAGCCCTTTACTGTAATTGCACCGATGCATGGCTCACCCTAATGAGATTAACTGTGTAACAGCTAACATGAAGCTTTAAAGTAGTCGCGCTGTGAGCTACTGAGTAAGCAAAACGAGACGAGAGTTTCGGTTGTGATGGAGCGCTAGCAACGCTTGGGGTGGTTAGCCTAGGTAGCAATTGAAATTGAAACAATAGAGTGATACACTTGTTTCATTTACCAACACCAAACTATGTGTATGAAACCTTGCAGGGTTTTTGTATGAAGGTACCTCCTAAGGAAACTGGTTGCAAAATCTTCCAAAACATCACGTCCTCTAATCTAGAACATATTCAGTGAGATTTAGTGATAACAAAGCAAATATGTAGCCAATACATGCACAGTACACCTTGCACACTCAAGTTAGGATGCAAATGGAAAAGGGATAACAATCAAAGGAATAAGTTATTCAAAGGAATCAAAGGAACTAAGTTATTCTTAAGTCTTGCTTTTCGTTCTGCACCACATTGCTTCTATCCGTAACATGGGAGAACCAAAACTGTTTCCGAAACAATCAGCCACCAAACCACAGTGTGATCTTACCAAGTTGTTGAGGATAGGGATGGTCATGTTATCCTTGATTCAAAAGCATTACACATTTCGATTTTTTAGAAATGCTACTTGAGTGCTTGAAGTGTCAAATCATAGTCCACACTGTATATTCAGATAAATGGAAATGCTTTACACTAAACAGAAGAAAGTAAATAGTCTTAGAAAATGTGTCACTATATTTATCAGTTTAGTGCAAGTACCGAACACAGAGAAATCATGATGGATGGAAATCACAAACGTGTGAGACTTAAATAATATTTTGAAACAGCAGCTTGATATTGTTCAAGTTTCTGTTTGGTACAGTAGGCTGGCACCTGGCCATTTCCTCTTAAATGGCCTAACGCCTGCATTTTTGCACATAAAAGAAAAAAACATTTTGAGTTAGTTTACTAACAATGAAACTAGATTTACGACACAATGGTTTCAAATGCAGTGTGCCCAGGCTGATAATGATCGACACTAACACCCACATCTTAAACCCTTCTACTGAAAGCAGGTTTGGGAAGATACTCTGAAAGCAAAAGGTACCTGGTACTCACTGGTAGAGTGCTGTGCAAACAATTCCCAAAGAATGAACATACTGTCAACCATGCACATTCATTTGGAGAAAAGCATCTGCAAAATGTGCAAATGAAGGTTTTACTACAGAGCATGAGATTTATCATTAACTACTATAAACTAGGGTTCATTCCATGAATGAAAATCCATGAACTGCATTTTAGACCATTTTCTAAGGCAGTGCCATGTATTAAAACTAAGGATGCAATGCTCCTCCAATACTGCCATACTCTATCGGTCAGACGAGAACGATCCAAATCCGATATTCTGTGTTACTGTTAAACCCCACAAAAGGCCCTAAAAACATTATAAAGCACCATGAAGTGTTCTGAAGCCATTCAATAGTTTAAAGGTCCCTTTCTTCGTGATCACATGTTTCAAACTTTAGCAACTGTATAATGTTGTTTTTAGAGTATAAATACCTGTAAAATTATAAAGCTCAAAGTTCAATGCCTAGCGAGATATTTTAAGCCTACATCGCCTACATCGAACAGCCCGTTTGGACTACATCCCTCTACTTCCTTCTTTAATGACGTCAGTAGAACAGTTTTTTGACTAACGTCCGCCCACAGGAATGCTCCCTCAACAACTACCTCAACTTGCGCACTTCTTATACAGTGCCTTGCGAAAGTATTCGGCCCTTTTGAACTTTTTGACCTTTTGCCACATTTCAGGCTGCAAACATAAAGATATAAAACTGTAATTTTTTGTGAAGAATCAACAACCGGTGGGACACAATCATGAAGTGGAACGAAATTTATTGGATATTTCAAACTTTTTTAACAAATAAAAAACTGAAAACTTGGGTGAGCAAAATTATTCAGCCCCCTTAAGTTAATACTTTGTAGCGCCACCTTTTGCTGCGATTACAGCTATAAGTCGCTTGGGGTATGTCTCAATCAGTTTTGCACATCGAGAGACTGAAATTTTTGCCCATTCCTCCTTGCAAAACAGTTCGAGCTCAGTGAGGTTGGATGGAGAGCGTTTGTGAACAGCAGTTTTCAGTTCTTTCCACAGATTCTCGATTAAATTAAGGTCTGGACTTTGACTTGGCCATTCTAACACCTGGATATGTTTATTTGTGAACCATTCCATTGTAGATTTTGCTTTATGTTTTGGATCATTGTCTTGTTGGAAGACAAATCTCCATCCCAGTCTCAGGTCTTTTGCAGACTCCATCAGGTTTTCTTCCAGAATGGTCCTGTATTTGGCTCCATCCATCTTCCCATCAATTTGAACCATTTTCCCTGTCCCTGCTGAAGAAAAGCAGGCCCAAACCATGATGCTGACACCACCATGTTTGACAGTGTGGATGGTGTGTTCAGGGTGATGAGCTGTGTTGCTTTTACGCCAAACATAACGTTTTGCATTGTTGCCAAAAAGTTCGAGCACCTTCTTCCACATGTTTGGTGTGTCTCCCAGGTGGCTTGTGGCAAACTTTAAACGACACTTTTTATGGATCTCTTTAAGAAATGGCATTCTTCTTGCCACTCTTTCATAAAGGCCAGATTTGTGCAGCATACGACCATTGTTGTCCTATGGACAGAGTCTCCCACCTCAGCTGTAGATCTCTGCAGCTCGTCCAGAGTGATCATGGGCCTCTTGGCTGCATTTCTGATTAGTCTTCTCCTTGTATGAGCTGAAAGTTTAGAGGGATGGCCAGGTCTTGGTAGATTTGCAGTGGTCTGATACTCCTTCCATTTCAATATTATTGCTTGCACAGTGCTCCTAGGAATGTTTAAAGCTTGGGAAATCTTTCTGTATCCAGATCCAGCTTTAAACTTCTCCACAACAGTATCTCGGACCTGCCTGGTGTGTTCCTTGTTCTTCATGATGCTCTCTGTGCTTTAAACGGACATCTGAGACTATCACAGAGCAGGTGCATTTATACAGAGACTTTATTACACACAGGATTCTATTTATCATCATTAGTCATTTAGGTCAACATTCAGGATCATTCAGAGATCCTCACTGAACTTCTGGAGAGAGTTTGCTGCACTGAAAGTAAAGGGGCTGAATAATTTTGCTCACCCAATTTTTCAGTTTTTTATTTGTTAAAAAAGTTTGAAGTACCCAATAAATTTCGTTCCACTTCATGATTTTGTCCCACCTTTTGTTGATTCTTCACAAAAAATTACAGTTTTACATCTTTATGTTTGCAGCCTGAAATGTGGCAAAAGGTCGAAAAGTTCAAGGGGGCCAAATACTTTTGCAAGGCACTGTAACTTACTGTGTTTACTCACCTCTTACGGTGATTTTCTGAAGTAAAACTGACGCTTCATATTTTGTGTGATGTACAATAAACTTTATTAAACTCATCAGTATATGTTTGATCATCATTAGGACCTGGTCTGAAACAGCAGACTTGTAGGCTATTAATAAATAATGGATACATACAAGCAGATGACAAATACGTTATAATAACCATAATTAAACTACTAAACTATACCTGTTCCATTTCTATAAAGCACTCTGACTGTGTAGGCATTATTGTCCGACTCGAAATGAACACCGTTACTGAGAGTTTTTGATATTATCATCATTTCGTGAGATAAAATTGTCCCGAGAGACTGAGCGCGAGCTTATGAAGCTCCGCCCCCTGCGGCAGAAGCAGCTTATTTGCATTTAAAGGGCACACACTAAAACAGCGCGTTTTTCCGAGCCCCAAAAAATGACAATTTAAACATGCTGTGAAAAATGATCTGTTGGGTATTTTGAGCTGAAACTTCACATACACAGTCTGGGGACATCAGAGACTTATTTTACATCTTGTGAAAAGGGGCATGATATGAGACCTTTAATGTGAGGTACAGATGAATATTTGAGTTGTTAAAGGGTTAGTTCACCCAAAAATGAAAATTCTGTCAGTATTTACTCACCCTCATCTTGTTCCAACCCCGTAAGACCTTCGTTCATCTTCGGAACACAAATTAAGATATTAAGATCACTCCTGTATACTAGTCCATAGGCTTCTTGAGGGAATGACTTGCTGGCCTCGAAAAGTCATTAAAGGACATTGTTAAAATAGTCCAAGTGACTACAGGGGCTCAATCTTAAAGGGTTAGTTCACCCAAAAATGAAAATTAAGTCATTAATTACTCACCCCCATGCTGTACCAACCCCGTAAGACCTTCGTTCGTCTTCGGAACACAAATGAAGATATTTTTGATTAAATTTGAGAGCTGTATAACTACCACATTGGCTCCTAAGGGACTGCCTCTTGACGGCCCAAAAAGTCAATGAAGAAAATGTTTAAATATCCCAAGTGACTACCGTGGCTCAACTATATGTTTATCAAGCGACGCGAATACTTTTTGTGCGAAAAAACAAACAAAAATAACGAGTTTATTCGACTATTTCTTTTCTTCCTTGTAGGCCAGAACGAGACTTCCTTATAGATTTATATAATATTTCATTTTTGGGTGAACTAACCCTTTAAGTTTATCAAACGACAAGAACACTTTTTGTGCGCAAAAACAACAAAAATAACGACTCTATTTCAACTATTGGTTTATTTCTCCCTCTGCCTCGAGTCAGGTTACTAGTTTAATAGC